GTCAGTAAACAGTCAGTAAACAGGATCTGGACTGACTCCTCCTCCAGCTGTACACGTCTGGACAAGTCCTCCAACACCAGACTTCATTAGAAATCTGACCCAAACTAGAGAAGTCCAGTTTGTATGTGCTGCCTGCAGCTTTCACACATTAATATGAATGAATCAGGTTAATAACTGAGACAGTGAACTCTGTGTTCTGTCTCCTGAGACCACTTTATAAATATTTATATCATATTCTCTCTGATTTCAGTCTAACTTCACTGACTGCAGGTCAGTTTCTGCTTCAGCTGCTTCGTACCAAACTCCATAAGGAAAAGTCTGGTTTTAATTCAGTATGAGAGCTGTTAATGAGTGAGAACCGACCCAGAGTCAGTTCTACCTGTGACAAACTCTTCCGGCCTCCTGCTGTTCACATTAAAGTTGGAATAAACTTATTTGAACTCTGGTTGTTTTTCAGCGGTTGTTTGGAGAACAAGCAGCCGGCGGCGGAGCTCATTCAGCGGGTTGTGATCTGCACTTTCCCCGGTAAACACACCAACCTCTCCGGCTGTCGCAGTCCCTCCTGCCCGGCCTGCTGCTGCTCCTCTCGGGGTCACTCCTCCTCCGGAGCCGCTCTCCTCCTCCGGAGTGTCTCTGGGTTCGGCTCAGCGGACAGGCCGGGTGTCCGCAGGGCGGGCTGCCGCCGGGCTGCCCCTCCGCACACACCGAGCACCTCTTCGCCTCGGTCTCTGGCGGGCTGGACCCGGACCCGCTCCCAGCTCCGGACCCGGACCCGGACCCGGACCGGTGCCGGCCGGTGGCGGCGCTGGCCGGTCTGGCAGTCCGATCGGCGGACCCTGCGGTCGCCATCTTCCCTGGTGAGTCTTCTCTCTCACAACAAACCCCGCCCTCCCGCCAAACACAGCGGGCCGGCGGGGGCGGGGCTACACAATAACCACGCCCACTTATAATGCGTCACCCGCGGTTCGTTCAGGGTGAGTGGGAACTTTCTAAGTCGTATTTAAATTGCTGCATTCAGGATCCCGTTGAACTGTGGGAAAGTATCATCCGCGCATGTCAGTAACGGTTTCTTTTAACTTTATACTTTAATAAATAATAAATAATATATATAATACATATTTACTGAAGTTTATTTCTGTATGTTTTATTGTAATGCACCAAATCACTTGTATGTGAAAACCTACTTGGTAATAAACCCGATTCAGCTTTATTGTGAAAGGATCTATGTTCCGGCCGGCAGGAGGCAGCAGAGCTACCGGAACCGGAAACAGAACCATCGAAGAAGAAGAGGTGAACAACAACAATGGCGGTGCAGAGAGAGAGAGAGAGAGAGAGAGAGTAAAGTTAGAGAGGTAATAATCCTATTTATTAATTATTAATGACAATAATTACACAGATTGAATGTTTATATGAAACTGCAGAGAATGAATGCGGAACCCTTCGGTCAGTGTGGATCAAATTGAGACATTTTATAGGATCTTTGGCTGATAACTGATCAATAAATGGATGATTTGTGATATACAGTATTTATTATTGTTCATAACTTAATATGAGATCAATAAAAGTTTAACTGGCTTCAATAATAGAAAGATGTTTATATTTTATTGTATTTAATTTACAGTTTGAGCTTTATACAAAATAAAATACATTAAATATAAATGAGTAAATGGTAAATGAAAAGGTTTTAATGTCCTGTCTCCTGGTCTGGTTCCAGTCCTGGATGCAGGGCTGCAGGCCGGTGGTGGAGGTGGTCCGTCTGGGCCTGGTCTCCTACCAGGAGGCTCTGCGGCTGCAGCAGGTCTACGTGAACCGCCACCGATCTGGTCCGGCTCACACTCTGCTGCTGTGTCAGCACCCGCCGGTCTACACCACCGGGATCCGCCACAAGCCTTACCCGGCACCCCTGCTGGACCAGCTCCGCCTGCTGGGGGCCGACGTCCACCGCACCAACCGAGGAGGCCTCATCACGTTCCACGGGCCGGGACAGCTGGTCTGCTATCCGGTCCTCAACCTGGGCGGCTTCAAGAAGGTCTGGTTCACTCTTGAGTTTGATGTGGTTTAATGTGACCGGACTCTGGTTCACGTCTGATCTGGTTTCAGAGCGTTCGCTGGTACGTCTGTGAGCTGGAGAAGACCATCATCTCCGTCTGCAGCAGGTTTGGTATCGAAGCGTCGACGTCCCCTCACACCGGAGTCTGGGTCAGAGACAACAAGATCTGCGCCATCGGTACGACAACAACCTCTCCTTCATCCAGTCTGCTAGCATTGTGCTAACAATAGATTAAGATGTGACCGTGTTTCTTTTCTCTTTTAACCATCTTCAAAATGTGGTTGTCTTTCCAACATAGATTAGATTAGCATATAGTACAGAAAAAGAGGAAGTTGACTGTTTGCTCAACTGTGATTGGAGCACAGAGCAAAAGGGGCGGGGCTTAGGATGATGGGTTGAACTGGAAAAGCTGTGGTTGTTCTGATTTGTACTTTCATTCTTCTGTTGTTTTCCAGGAATCCACTGCGGTCGATACGTCACGTCTCACGGTTTGGCTCTGAACTGTAACACCGATATGTCGTGGTTCAGACACATCGTACCGTGCGGTATCGAAGGTAAAGGAGTGACGTCGCTGAGCGCTGAGCTGCAGAGAGACGTTAGCGTGGAGGAGACCATCCCTTACCTGCTGGACGCCTTCAGGGACCAGTTCAACTGTCAGCTGATGGACGGACAGACACCTGAACCTGACGAGGACAGCGGAGAATCGTCGGCGTAGAAACTGACTTTATAGATTAAAACATGACGTTCTGTTTGAACTCGTTCTGTCGGTTTAATCTCTGTGTGCGGAACAGAATGACCTCCAGGATGTGTTCATTTACATGTGGAATCTTGCTAGCTAAAATTAGCCCTCAAATCCCTTTCAAATTAATTAAATTCGTACTTTGAAATTAACTTTTCATGTAAGGTTCAGATTCAATGTTTTGACTGGGTAACTGGGATTGATCCCAAATTGTTTCTGTTTCTACACCTATTCAGTAAACCTAATAAATCTGGTTTCTACAATCTGATCTGGTTTATGTGACGAGGTCTTGGTTCTTAAAAACAGGAGGAGGAGGCGGTTGTACATGAGGGAACAATCCCAAACATAAATCTGATATATGACTAAATATGTTACATACAGTTTATCATATATGTGTATGTATATATAACTTTATACTCATACAGCTCATCAGACTGCATCACCAAGACAATAATACTTAACTCACACAACTAATTTATTTTGAAACCAAAAAATCTAAATTACTTAACTAATTACTCAAACAATTTAATTTATTACTTATTGAACATTTCAATTGTCATAAAAACCCAAAGAAGAAGCAGACTTTTATTTTGAACTTCCTGTTCCTGTTAAACTTTCAGAGTAAAGGTGCCTGTTAGCTGCTAACTGCTAACTGTGTAACTTTAGCCTGTTGCTAACATTAGCCTCCGGTGTGCAGTTTACGGCCGATACTGACAGTGGGACATTTGAGCGCCGGCAGCCATAACAAAGAGGAGAATGTGTGTGAGGTTCAGGGTCCGGTGGAGGAGCTAACACGGTATCAGTGTTAGCCGGTAGCCTCTGTCTGTCAGCATGGGGGACGTTAACGGGGACCTGAACGCCAACTCCCGGTACCGGAGCACCGGCGACCCGCAGGTGGACAAGGCGGTGCACCAGTGGTTGACCTGGGACAAGGTGAGAGTCTGTCCGGGAAGCTGCACACCAAACTTCCCTGTAAAATCTATCATTTTAAAAATACATCGGCTCTTGGTAAACACATGTCGACTCACAGGGTTCAGATACTGAAAGTAATCGATATTTATCATCGTCTTGTTACATCGGCGGGAAAATTACTGATTTGAAAAATACTTTATGTTATTACATAGCAGCTGTGCGGGCTGTATACAGCTGATCTGCTGTGTTCAAGGGGTGTAAGGAAGATCAAAAAAAGAGCTTTTATGTTTAATTTCTGTATGCCGAATTCTTCACTACAATCAACCAGTAAAGAAAACTTATTAAATCCTGTTACTAAGTGTAATTTTAACTTTTGTGAGCAAGTAAATCTAAAACTAGCAGGTTTTAAATGGGAGTTCTGAATGTCGACACAGCGGTGTGTGTGTGGGAGCTGGTTGCAGTCACAGTACAATGTAAAATAAAGTTGAGTGTGTCATTCACAATCATTCACAATCACCCTGTGTGCTGTGTGAGGCCGGGCTCAGGGACTGTGTGCTCCCCGCAGTGCGGAGCTGCAGGCCGGCTGGAGGACAGACAGCAGCCGGTGTGTGTCTGGATCGTGATGGAGATCATCAGGCGATTAAACGGCAGCATGACTCAGCTGTTTTTCTTTATAGGCAGCCAGAAAAGGCCTGTGCAGCTAGTGGCACTCAAAATGATTAATGTGTTTATATTGATGCTTCATCATCATCATCATCAGCCAACCATCTAACTGCTGCCTCCTGTATTCCTCTGTGTGTCTGGAAAACAGATTATTTTAAAGCTTTTATATGAGATATTAAACATTACATTCTCTATCTGTTTATACAAACATTAATATATCAGCTAACATTATATTC